CTCTCTCTCTCTCTCTCTCTCCTCTCATTCTCTCTTTAAAAAAAAAAATAAAAAATAAAAATTCTCTCTCTCTCTCCTCTCTCACTCTCTCTTAAAAAAAATATACTCACTTTTAAAAAATAGCTGTAGATGGACACAATACCTTTATTTTATTTATTTTTATTTAGTTCTGAGGCTCAAACCCAGAGCCTCACACATGGTAGGCAAGCACTCTACCACTAAGCTACACTCCCAGCCTACTATATGCTTACTTTTTTTTCCAGCTATTTGGATGTCTTTGCTCCTGCTCAGTAAACTCAATATGCTGTGAACTGAATATTCGTGCAGTTCCAAAATTCATTTGTTGAAGTCCTAACCCTTAATGTGATGGTGTTTGGAGATGATGCCTTTGGGAGTTAATTAGGATTAGATTAGGTCCTGAGATAAGGTACTCATGATCTGATAAGAGGCCTTATAAGGAGGGGAAGAGAGGGCTGGGGCTGTAGCTCAGAAGTAGAGTACCTGCCTAGCACATATGGGTTTGATCCTCACCACCACATAAAAATAAATAAAGAGAATAAAGGTATTGTGAAAAAAAATCTTTCAAAAAAATAAAGGGAAGAGAAAGATATCTCTCTCTCTCTCTCTCTCTCTCTCTCTCTTCTAGATCATAGAGGCAAAGTCAGATGAAGATTCAGTGAGAAGGCAGTCATCTTCAAAAAAGCCCTCACCAGGAAATGAACTGGCTGGCATCTTGATCTTGGACTTCCTGGCCTGTAGAACTATAAGATTTCTGATATTTAAGCCACTTAGTCTATGGTATTTTGTTGTGTCAGCCCACGCCAGCCAAAACAATGTATCTCAAGTTTTGCACAGATTAATAAAGATCCATTCAAAAAAGAATCATCATAACTATAAGCTGTGTTTTGTTCTTAAGATTAAGTACAATCAACATAGTCTGTAATTCCTTTACAGTTTAGGAACAGTGACTTCTTTTAGATTTGTCAAGTAACTATTGGGAAACCCTCCAATTTGTTTAATTTTTCCAAATTGTAATTTGTATATTGGGAATTGCTTGGAATTTGGGATCCTCTCCTGTTTTTGAATTGAAATAAAAGGTATGTTACTGCAGGTGGAAACTCATTCACTTAATAGACTGGAAGTAGTGTTAAACATGTAATCGATATTTAATTATACTAAGGAATTATTGATTATGTTTAGCTCTGATGTTTTGCTATGATTAATTTTTTAAGATACCGAAAAATTTAAGAGAAAATATTGGTACCTAGAATTTGTTTCAAAATTTCAGAATCAGGGCAAGGTGTAAATAGTTCACAATATCAAAGAAACAAGTAGTCAGCAGATGATAATTATAGACACTGGAAGATAGATGCACAGATTTCCTTTTTGTCTCTATACTTAAACATGTTTAAATTTTCTATAATGATTTTTAATATAAGTTATGATTGTGTATAATTAATTACTACACTTAGGCTTTCACATCTCATCTTCCATTATTATGTGTGGTTTGTTACTGCTAATGTTAATGTATTAAAGAATCTTCAATTTATGTGTCTTAGTAAGCATGAAAATTAAAATGCTAAACAATAGTACACATTAAACTTCATTTGCCATACATTTATTTAGCAGCTGCTAAGTGCTTTCATTGTAGGTTATCTCAAATCTCTGCAAGGTGAGTGTTACTACCCATTTCACAAATAATAAAATGTTGATCCTAGATAAATATTATGCAGGTAGAAAATAAGAAAATTATGAATTTTACCCATGTGATTCCCAAAAAAATTTATATTTTATTTCTACCAGATTATGCTGCTTCTCAGACATGGCTGACTGTCTTTTTCCCCAATCTGTTTTCCTTTTGCAAGTGAAAGTCTGGCCCAACAAATGGAATAAAATTCATATGTGAAAATGTGGAAGTTCTTTGTCCACTCCTTTCATGTTAAAGCAATAAAGATATTGTGAAAAAAATATTTTTAAAAAAGAAGGGGAAGAGAAAGATCTCTCTCTTCTCAAGATCATAGAGGAAAAGGCATATGAAGATTCCATGACAAGGCAATCATCTTCAAAAAAGCATTTATCAGGAAATGAACCAGCTGGCATCTTGATCTTGGATTTCCTGGCCTGTAGAACTGTAAGATTTTTGTAAGAGTCTGAAGGCAGGCATTAAAATTGGACTATACCTTAAGGAATCCATAGAACAGTGAATTACAAAATTCTAGATCTAACTCATTAATTTTGATTCTTCAAGAATTCTTTTGATCATTATTCCATGTATTTGTGTCTGTTACTGTTCAAGATACTGAAGTAATACTTTCTCATCTTACTTTCAGAATATTAAGAGCTCAACTCCAACACACTTGCCTCCATTTGTGTCCCTGTCTACTTATATCCCCTCAATTAGAATCCACATCTGCATAGCTCACGAGATGGGATAAGTACAAGTTAGAAACTTCCCCCAACTAACACTGAGCAGCCAGCCCTGCCATTCAGTCTTTGCTTTGTCCTTTCCCTTCCAAAGACACTCCCAAGTTTGTAGTAGAAGGAGTTTGAAATCATCATTATCAATAGTCTATTATAAGACACCAACTTCTTATTTCTATCTGATTATTTCTTAGTACTCATTAATCACACTGTCCCCATGCCTCCATCCCTTCCTTTTCCCACGCCTCTAGTACCTACCATTCTACTCCATACCTCTGTGAGGTAAACTCTTTGTATTCCATATATAAGAAAGACCATGTGGTGCTTGTTTTTGTGTTTCTGGCTTATTTCACCTAATAACAATATCCAGTTCCATCCATATTGTTGAAAATAATGGTTTCATTCTTTTTATGACTAAATACTATTCCATGGTATACATATACCACATTTTCTATATCCATTCATCAACTAATCAGCACTTGGTTGTTTCCATTTCTTGGAAATTGTGAATAGTGCTGCAGTGAACATGAATTTTTTGAAGAACTTCTTTTTCAAACTGGCTATACTAATTTACATGCCTACCATCAGTATACAAATGGTCCATTTTGTCCACACCTAATACTTATCTTTTGTTAATAACATTCTAATGAGAATAAAGTGCTATCTTAATTAAGGCTTGGATTTGCTTTCTCTGATGATTGGTGAATTTGAGTGCTTTTTCCATATACCTGTTGGCTGCTTGTATGTCTTTTTTTCTTTTTTTTTTTTAAGAGTGAGAGAGGAGAGAGAATTTTTAATATTTATTTTTTAGTTCTTGGCGGACACAATATCTTTGTTGGTATGTGGTGCTGAGGATAGAACCCGGGCCACACGCATGCCAGGCAAGCGCGCTACTGCTTGAGCCACATCCCCAGCCCTGCTTGTATGTCTTTTTTAAGTCTACTGCTGAGAGCCATTGCCAAGTAGGAATGACGCATGGCGTTTTGGGGTTGAAAGGTGACCCTGCTCAGGGATTAGGGTGGCTCCAGGTTTAGGGTGGATCCTGCTGGGAATAGGGCGGCTCCAGGATTAGGGCGTATCCTGCTGCCTCAGGTGCCCCGCTCTTTGGAATTCCCGTGGAGTTCCCGTGGAGTTCTCGCAGGGTTCTGAGAGAATTGGTGCCCAGAGCCGGGTAGAGGCAGTGTGTTCACGGGAAGTGTGGGTAGAGCGCCGGTGAGAGTTCGGGAATAAAGAGTTGCTGTTTGAATCTACAAGGTGTGTGGTAGCTCTGTTATTTTGTGCCCAGCCAGACTGTGGCAGTCTACTGCTTTTTTTTTTTTTTTTTTTTAAACAAGAGACAGAATCATAATGTTGCCTAAGCCTTATTCAGACTCCTAGGTTCAGGCAATCCTCCTGCCTCAGCCTCAGGAGTAGCTGGGAGTACAAGTGCACACCACTCAGCCTAGTTTATTGACTACTTTTTTAATTTGTAAATATATTTTTCTTTCTTAAATTTGTTCTAATTAGTTATATATGACAGTAGAATGAATTTTGGCACATCATGCATAAATAGAGTATAACTTCTCATTCTTGTGGTTGTACATGATGTAGGATCACACCAGTTATGTAATCATATATGTACATAGGGTAATAATGTCCAATTCATTCTACTATCCTTCCTCCCCCCATATCCCCTGCCCTCCCTTCACTCCCCTCTGCCTAATCCAAAGTACCTCTATTTTTCCCTAGCACCCTGCCCCCTTATTGTGAATTAGCATCTGAATATATAAGAAAACATTCAGCCTTCGGTTTATTTATTTATTTGTTTGTTTGTTTATTTGTGGGTGCTGGGGATTGAACCCAAGGCCTTATGCATGTAAGGCAAGTGCTCTACCAACTGAGCCACATCCCCAGTTCTTGGCTTTTGGTTTTTTTGGGTTGAGCCTCCCTATTTTCTCCCCATCCCTAATCTCAGGGGAAACAGGATTACCTTCCCCATCCCAGGAAGAGTTATCTATCCTTGAGCACACACCCACCACAGGAACAAAGTAGCTCAGATTCAGGGATGGTTCCAGAAGATCTAAGAAATTACTGTCTCCCAAAGTAACAAGTGAATTACAAGTCCAAATAGAGAACACTTGGAGTGTAGCTTTTGATTCACTTCTTAAAAACAAACAAACAAAAAAAACAAACAAAAAAACCCTGTTCCCCCTGATATACAGAATCATAGTCTCTCTGGAATAGTCCCTGTTTTTCTCCTTTGCTAACAAAGCAATACAACTTCTTTTTCCTTTTTCCCAAAACTTTATCCTTGTTATTGGCTTGTCACTGGGGACAACAGGGACAAAATCTTTACCACATGTGCTTTTGGGGGGACACTTAATATCCAAATTACAACATATGTCTCTGTCTCCAAAGGTTCATGTCCATCACACAGTGCCAAATGCATTCAATCTGAGTTTCCAAAGTCTTAACTGTTCCAGTATTATGTGTAAGTCCAAGTCCACAGTGAGACTTCAGGCAAGACTCCAGGCAAATTTAGTTGTGAGCTCCTGTAAAATCAAAAGAACAAATTACATACTTTCAAGATACAGTGATGAAATAGGCACAGGACAGACATTCCTATTTCGAAAGGGAGGAACAGGGAAATAGTAAAGACCAAAGCAATCAAAACAGCCAGCAAACCTGGAAAGGGGACACATGTAGAACTTTTGATGTTCCATTTTATATCTTTCTATGTTGCTTATCTCTTAACATATTAATGTATTTTTAAATTGGCTTGAGGGTTTTTTGTGTGTTTATACTAAAGATATGAACCACCTATGCACCATGTTTGCAATATTGCACCATTCTGAACTTGTCTGCATACCTCTTACAAGTGGGTTTGATGCTTTCTGATGTTTTCTTCTTGCTCAGTATGTCTTTTTTCTTTTAAGTTTGAAGAACTTACTTTAGTATTTATTATAGAACAGGTCCAGTAAAGATATATTCACTTAGTTTTTGCTTGAATGTCTTTATCTCTGTTTCTTTTCTAAAAAAAAAAAAATAGCTTTGCTTTATACAATATTATCGTTCAACAGTTCATTTTTCTCCTCCCTTCATGCTGTGAAAATCTCATGCCAACTCTCTGTTGCCTTACGGTTTTTGCTGACAGGCAAATTGGGACACCCTTATGTGTTATTCTTTTCATTTGATGCCTCAAAAATCTTCTCATTATTTTTCACCTTTGAGAGCTTGATTTTGTTCGGGGGTAGAATTGGTTGAGTTAAATCTGACTAGTGATCTTTGACCTATGTACCTGGATAATTCATGTCCTTTTCTAGATCCAGGAAATTTTCTGTTATCATTCTTTCTTTCTTTCTTTCTTTCTCCTTCAATTGTGTATTTTCAAATAGGCTATCTTGTAACTTGTTGATTATCTCTTCTATTCTATCCATTCTACTACTGATGCCTTCTATTATGTTTTAATCTATTTTTCAACTCAAGAATTTGTTTGATTTTCTTTTCTTTTCTCTTTTTTTGCAGGGGGTGATGGGCACTGGGAATTGAACCCAGGAGAACTTTACCACCAAATTACACCCCCAGTACTTTTTGTTTTTTTATTTTGAGACAGGGTCTCACTAAATTTCTGAGGGTCTTACTAAGTTGCTGAGGCTAAACTTGTGATCCTCATGTCTTAGCCTCCTGGGTTGCTGGGATTACCAGGATTATATATAGTGTGCACCACCAGGCCTAGCTTGTTTAATTTTTTTAAATTGCTCTTGTTTCTGTTTCTTTGTTAGAGCAATGAGCTATTTTTCTTTGTTCTCTTAAAGCTCATTTAGTTTCCTTAATATGCCTGTTTTATTCTTTACAGACTGGTTGGTCTCTGGCCAGTTTCTGGCACCTGTGAGTGTGTGTGTGTGTGTGTGTGTGTGTGTGTGTGTGTG